GTTTCGCGTTTCCTAACAATATTATCACATTTTCTCCATCAAACAGTTCGAATGGCAAAAGTATCACATCTTTGGTTATATTTTTTACTATTGTTAATAAACTGAATGGTATAAAAGTTGTTCTGATCTTCAAATATTTTTAATATGCTATACTTTATATATTAAACATAAATTTATTCGATTTTTAACATTGCAAATATTTATATTTGTTGAAAACAGATATACATACAATCGAGTCTCCTATAAGAGAATAGATAGATAGTCTAATATAAAATCCAGAATTTTGTTATCAACATACAGAAAATTGCACTGATCAAAAAATCTAAAAAAATTTACATAAAAGTAAAATTTCAAGTAATTTTTAACGTATTGAATTCTCCTTACAATCTCTTCCCCTCGCGTTTTTCTTCTACGTTTTTGCGAAAGTTTTAAACCACAAATAACGACACGAGTCGCTTATGGGGAATTCCCAGATGTGCGAGTGCTTTCGAATTATCGATTGGCCGTGGGATCCTTCTAGGACTCCAGTGCGACATGCGAGGAATATCGTGCAACAAGTACCTAGCGATAAACGATAGTTCCCTGAGGGCTCTGTAGTTTGAATCCTCGCAAGAAATGGTCCCCAAGACTATACTCTCACGTCTCGTTTGCACAAACCACTAACGCAACAAGTTATCCAAAGTCGCCGCTCTCTCTCTCTCTTTCTCTCTCTCTCTATATATATATATGTATATATATATAGGTATATATTAGCCGACTTTAGCAAATTCATTCGGTGAAACCAATCAGTCTTCGAATAATTCCGGAAAGCTCTTACAAGTTTTGGCTTTCGAAAAATCTCCGTAATAGCATATCGGAGATGCAAATGAAGATATACAAATGTTATTACTGTCGCCGTTGCATAAATATAGGCGAGTGGGAGAGGTGATTTATCATGAAACGACAGGTCAGGATTAATGGCAGCATGACGAACCCGCACGGCAGCCTCGCGTGTACATCATGAATATGAGAGATTCTCGTACAAAATTCGCGGTCAGTGGGACACAAAAAAAAAAGAATAGGAGGAAGGTCGAACGGTAATGTACGTTGATGCACGTGTACCTGCGGCTCGCGTGATAGTGAAATACAGGTGGTTTCACAGAAAAATCGAGCGAAAATGGATAAAAGAGGCGAACGGAAGGTCGGCATCGATTGCTTCGGCATCGTAAATGCACTGACATCATAAAAAGATACGTGTTCTTTAATCTTATTCAAATATAAAAATATATCCTTTATAAATTTTCCGTGAAACGCGATTATCTGCTTCAATAGATTTGTCATTTCCCTGAGGACGAACAGTTACTGTTTCCATTTCGCAAAGTACCGGTCGCGTCGTTTATACCGTATAAATCGCATAAACGAATACGCGGTGAATTGCGTTTTATATAACCCGAGACTCGCGAGGAAGCGCTTACGCTCGGTAATAAAATGCAGGGGACGCGACCACCAAATAACACGCGATTATGCATTTGCAGAGATTTATTATTCCGTCGGGTATACCCCGCTCTGACGGATTGCTCCTCACTCATCCATTCATTAATCATAAACGGGAGGAACTTCCGAAATCGCGTTTCACGTCAAATTGACCGATAAATTAAAATTGGATCGCTAATTTAGACCTCAGGATATACGTCGACGCGTGCTGCACACACACATCCAGCATTTCAGTTTTTAATGTCCCTAAATTTTCAATTTTGTGCGGCTTAATAATTTCATGACAAGAGAAATTTTCTTTTACAATTAGTAAAATAGCATAAAACAATTCTAAAACTTTGTAAAAATAATCATGTTGTATTACGTAATAATAGTTCTTTTATAAATGCATTTTGATCTTTTAAGAGCATTATGTAAACTAATAAATTGCTGATGGTAAATAAAGACGCGGAAGAAAAGGAAACACGAAGCACACGGGTTAAATATTAAAACGGACGTTTCTATAAAGATCTGCAGTCTTAGCTTGGTAATTTATTAAAAAAAATCGATATAGAACTTTCTAAAGGTAAAAACCTATATAACTCGCCTCTTAACTCGATATAATCTATTAAGAAGCTGAAATGAAAGAAAAAAAATGTTCTCTTACTTTTCTCGATGAGATTATCATTTCGATTTCTACGCTCTATATTGAAATACTTGTTAGGACTTCGTATTATTACTTATATTAGATCGAAGTATTTGTGATTTATATATTAGAACGTATGATGTAATAACATACTGGAAATACAATCGATATTCGATAAATTCTTGTAAATATCTATGTAACGCGTGCAATTACGTACACGGGAACGCGCGGAGGAATTCTGAATGAAATTCTCCGTTCACCATATTTGCGGGATAGAATGTGTTGTGTTCGAAAGGACGGTGGTTTATAAAGACGAGATTTTATCGGACTTTATGGTTTAAATGGGATTATTTGCATTCCGCTGTTAGTTATGCAGACAAATCACTGCATTACTATTTCGAAACAAATTGGAGCAGTCAACGAAAGGTGAAGTTTATAAATGTCAAGTGCGAGTTTAATGTTACGCAATATTGGCGCAAGAGGTTTATTTAACTGAATCAACAGTCGTAAATTATATAGTTAATTTTAGAAAGATGTTTAAGAAAGTCTAATCTGAGTCAACGCTTGGGCTGGACAATTTCGTCAATGTGTATACCATGATGTTTTAATTATGGTTCGGATTCCGACTGAAATTTTCTAGCGAGTATTAATAGTCGACGCTGTAAAATTCAACAACAGTGAGGTCGTCTTTTCTCTTCGACACAAGACGATAGGCTAGCTATCTAGGAATTGTAGCAACCGCATTTCGCAAATCGTATCGACGTAGTCGTCTACTGAAAGATACGCTAATGGTCGATAATGGAACTGCCGCGGCATTGTCAAAATCAAATTATGCCACCCGGCAGCTGCTTGTCGCTACGATCCGCAAAACAATGTGGCGGAAAGTACGCGTTTTCAAATACATCGCGGAACAATAGATGACGCGAGTCATGAGAGCCTTCCTTTTATTCCAGATCGAAAAGCGTGTCATTCATTATATTAACCGCGTTCTAATTTATAATTTCCATCATAATATTATATCTATGCAATCAAATAATTGATTTTCCAACTCGTTTATAAAAAACAATCCTACGAGACGTGTAAATTTCTTGCATTGAAAGATCTAAATACTCGTTCAACCATTTACCTTGAAAACATTTTATTTATTCTACGTTATATTGTCGTGTGAAATGAAAAGATTATTTCTTTTTAATTAATACGTTGAGAATGGCGAATAAGAGTCAATCTAAATCTGATAATATATTCTAATATTCTATATTGCGAAGAATATCACGTAATGTTTGGCGTTTCGTCCCGGCTTCCACTACTGGACTCATCAGTAAGGTATTGTAGTGGAAGCCTACCTTAGACGCCGGTGTAAGTTATTAAATCGAGATTCTATATAAAGAGATATACGCGTGTCTCAGCACTTGCGAGAATTTGCGAATATCGATAGACCTCTGATGGCGGGTCGACGTAGTAATATTCTTCGCAATATTTATCCAAAGTGAGAAATAACGTTCTAATTATATATAGTCCCCCCAAATAATCTGATTTTTAAATGTCCCCTCTTCTTAATTGTTGCGCGCCGAAAGATTTTTCGGTCTT